GGATATTCTACAGGTATTGAGATATTATATATTTAGGACATCCCAATAATATATTTTGCACATTCTGCTGTGTGGGATATATGCCGAGATATATCTATCTGGGATATTATAAATAGACATATCTTTTCACAAAGGCTCTCCTTTTTTAGAAATATTATACACAAATATATTATTAGTATTTTGCAACATTCAATCATTCAGACCTGTATTAATTACTTGAAACCTGTCTTGTGTAAAATACTCAGATCTGAATTTAGAGTTAGGTAAAAGTCTTTTTATATGAATTATATTTTGATATATGTGACATTACATTTGTAATCGCGATTCAGCTGAAAAACTCACGTCTGACTCTAAATTTAAATCTAAGCGTCTCATCTGAAGCAAGTTTCAAGTAACTACTGTTAATACGGACTTAAGACATACTCAATTACTGGGACACTCACCTTACCATATCTGCCAAGGAAAAAAGTGGTTAAGTCACATTTTTAAGAAAAATGAGTTTTTTATACTAATAAATTCGTGAAAAGAACTACGTCTAACTATATTGAAATCAGAAACTAAAAATTATTATTATTTATTGAAATAAAAACTTAGGGTTAACTTTAGGTAAAAGTTTCGAATATGACAAAATAGCTAGGAAAGAAGTCGTAATTAACAAAAAAATTGTACGACGCGTCCAATACGTCATAAAAACGTGAAAAAGACCACAACATCCATTAATGTTTTCTTCTCTAGCAAAAACATTGGTAAGGCATAGTTCTTATTACAAACGAAAAGCTTTTCGTAGTTACGGTTTTCTTATGTTGAAAACTATTAAGTCACTTTGTTACTTTTTTTCTCTTGTATTTTCAAAAAGCAAGAACCTTAAGTGCATTTTTGAGTAGTAAATATTAAAAAAAATTAGTTTCTTATTGCAAAATAAAAAAAGTGTACCCGATTTACCCAATACATGCTTTTGTATTCATAGAAATTTATTTTTCCATTACGATTCTCTAAGCAAATAGTTTTCATTGATTTTCTCAGTTTGAAGGCAAATGTAGTTAACCATTTTTTTCCTTAGCACGGCAGATATGAGAACGTATTGTCATTTATTTCCGCGATTCTCGTCAGCGGACGAACGTATTTGACGTCTAGGCTTTCCGATGATCCTCATCTGAA